CTTCTCCACTCTTTAACGAAAATTTATATATTTTTTTCTCGGAGGCAGCACTCATAGTGTCCTCAGTCCAAGTTCATTGCAAAACTAGTAATGATACTGTAATTTGTTCGTTTTTATTTAGGTATTCTACAAAAGTACTATCAATTTATAGGAAGGGGCTGTGGTGAAATAAGTGCTGACTGGGTAAATGCAAAAATGGGGAAGCTTTACGGCGGTAGTGGGATTTGAACCGGGATCTTCAGGTTGTGGTTTTCACAATCTTAACCACTTGATCTCATCTGTTACCCAGTAGATCACTCCACGACGATAGAAGATCGATTCAATTTTTTTAGACCTATTCAATTTTTTGTGTGTTACGAGTGTTATCACCTTCGAACAGGATAACCTGAAAAATAATGTAAGCAAGGCTCAGTCAGTTACTAGTACTCAGTATGATGCGGTTGTGGATTTGAGTCCCTGGGTGTTTGTTGATTCCCCGTTTCACGGTCTATAGAACTCCTCTAAACCGTGATTCGTCCGAAGATTAAGGAGTAGAACACTTAAGGTTCAGATGACGTAGGTTTATTGGGTGTTAATGAGTCACAGGGCAATGAATAATTGTTTTGTATGATACTACTCGCAACTGTGAGTAGCAAGTTTGACATGCTCGAAAGGATCATCTTGATCATCTTGAACACATTGGGACCAAATGATGTTAGGAGTGTATCGAAAAATCCATGCACTATGTGTTGTTTTATTGTAAATGTTAGTGTTAATAATACAGCGACGTCGGTAGAGAATTGCATTCGCCGACGTTTCGGTTACCGTGGGTAACCTTTCTGAAGGCAGGTTTTACAATCAAAACCTGCTTTGAGAAAGGTTACCCATGGTAACCGAAACGCCTGTGAATATAATTCTCTACCGACATCGCTGTGTTAATAACACTGTAACATTCACAATGACTGACACTTTCTCACAATAGTCAGAAATGAAAAAACCTTACAGACTGAATTAGTGAACTACACAAGATACGAGCATACTATTGAACTGTTCGATCAATGGTCTTGAAAGTTTGTTGAAAGTATGATTTATGTTTCAGACGAGGCGTATCGCTCAGTGTAACCTAATTCACCCATACTTATATTGTTCATCCATGTTCTTGAGTGTCTAAGGAATAGAACGACACCGGTCCGCAAAGGAACAGACGGCTTAGCTGACAGCAAGGCGATCGAAATTGCGTGACACGTTCGACAGCGGCCTAGGGCATAGTGGTCGTTGACGCATGTCCCGCTCTGGATTTTAAGTGAATCTAGTTGTGCCGGAGCTGGTTGTTTGATGAACAACACACAGTACCGAAGAGCAGCTTTGTCCCATTTTGTACCTCTGCTGCGACTCTGACGTCACGATTCTTGTTGTGAGCCGGAACCCCTACACATGAGCCATACGGATGACGTTCAATACCTTGAGTGAAAGGCTGTATAACACAGGAACACTGTGTTGAGTGAAACTCATATCCACACACTACTTGTTGACAAAGTATTGAAAATTGGTTTTCGTAGCTCGTTACTGATGGCACCTCGGCTGGTGATGAAACGGCCAAGCTCGGCGAACGGGCGAAATGGAACACTACTTGTTGTCTGCGCGACTCGATTGGTTTAGTCGTAAAACATTTTTGTACCTGATATTTGAAGTAAAGTAAGCGAGAAAAACAAGCCAAGGCATTTCAAGTGAACTAAGGTTCCCATATTCTTACAAACTAATCATTATGATTAAAAAATACCGCCAACAAGCCACTTGATAATACATTTTTTCAGTTCTCACAATGCAACCGTTTCGATCTAACAAAAGCGATTTTAGGACTAAATATTCCCAATCAGGTTTTTTGTTCATCGACAGTGACCAAAACCAAAACGCAGCTTTTTAACCATATTCATAACAGGTGGAGAGAGTAGTAAAAATAAACCCTCGAAACCACTCACAACGTGTTGTTTCACTTCAGATGAAAATTTCCTGTTTGAAAAGCTCTTCGACCTCACGCTGTTGGAACTGCACAGAACTGAAAATCCGCTTTTGCTTCTGGTCGGTGAACATCACAAACAGTTACTCATTCTCAAACGTCGCAGTACGATATTGGTCACCTGAGGGTTTGAATGAAACATCATGACTTGCTCCAACTTTGTTTACGAATGATCAAAATTGTTATGTTCGACGTCGTGAATGGTAGATCAGCCTGGTGTGCGCAGAAAACGAATCCGCTTGTGGGATAGTCAACTCTAGTCCCAGATCGTGTTGTTTGAGACGTAGGGTGTCATCGTTCGTAGACAGTCATGGTGCGATTTTGGTGTGCCACAGTTTAATTATTGGATTTCAGTACACAGCTGAAGATTGAAATACATATGTCTGGGTGCTTACAGACAATTCTTCTTGAAACTTTTCAGTAAATTGGGTTGCAAAGATTTTTGACAAATACTCATCATGTAATATCAATGTGTCACATATGTCACTGATCGTCGTTACAGGTACTGTACAGATATTTCAATCTCGTGCACTTTCGGGGCTTGGGGAACCGCCCAGACCCAAAGAATCACGCATATCAGTCTCACACGTTACCACCGACGTTTGTTTAAATATCAGCGCCTATTCCTCATTACCAATGGATATTGCATTCTGTCACTCAGAAAGAAAGAGAGAGAGACGGATTTTCGATATGTACGTCTACTCACCAGTGACACAACCTGATCGCTGACTACTGAGCGCGGTACCTTCATTAGTTGATTGATGAAGGCTTTATGACAAAGAATAAACACCTATCTAGTGCTTTTAAACCATTAATAGTTTACTTTTTATTTGCATTATATATTATTGTTATACTATATTGTCAGCATTGATTTCATGACACTGTTTTGTATGTTTCAATGTGAGATGATGATGTAGTATCGAGGTGGTTGCAAATTTGAAATGTTTTGTATATGCAGTGAAGTTTTGCATACCCCAAAATTGGGTTTACCGTTATCGGCTAGTTAAAAATGTACGCGATTCTTTTAACCGAAAACTACCTACTACCTTGTGATGATTTCACTACATGTTGAACGATGCTTGCAGACGGACAGACAGACAGAAAACGAGAAGACAAATAATTTGTCGATGAATGGGTATTTTAATATAAACTTTAATCAAAATTATTAAATATTTAAATCTATGATATCTGCCTCTCTTGAGTTTGATAAAATGCACACCAAACACTAATATAAACTCCACTATCAAAATTAAAAATAAGGAATTGTGACTTTAGTGAATGACGAATAATCAATCGATTCATCTGTTTTCCAATTCCAGGAAAACGGACATGCACCTGCAAAGGGGTTCAAAATTGACAGCCTGTTACAACTGTCCGAAGTTCGTTCCAACAATCCGAAGATCACGCTTTTGCATTT